TATGCTCCCATGAAAAAAATCATGTTTTTTTAATGTGGGATTTAAAACTTATTAGTACAAATACTATATATTCCAAAAAAAAAATTATGCCTTTTCAATGTAGGATAAATTTTTTTAAAATATATTCTTTTAAATTTCATTGTTTATAATATGTATAATTTATATTTATATAGATTTTTTTATATGAAATATTAAAACTTTATTTTTTTTTATTTTTCCGGGTCGACCCGGGTTGACCCCTAAACCCGGAACCCGGCCCCTTGACTGGGTCAATCTCCGGACCGGGTTTAATAACTATGCTATCAAGATGCAATCTTCCTTTCCCTTCTTCGAAAATTCTGATGATCATCATTTCAATTGTGATACAGGTAAAGGCAATGGAATTGATTGACCCAATGGAGGTGTCGAGGCGTGGTCCATACAATGGAGGATTAGGAGGGGTTTCCTACACTGGTGATCTGGACATTGCACTGGCTCTTGGGACAATGGTATTCCCAACGGGAACTCAATACAACACAATACACTCGTATAAGGATGCTCAGCTATGCCGTGAATGGATTGCTTACCTTCAAGCTGGTGCTGGTATGGTTGCAGAGAGTGTACCTGAAGACGTTTCTGGGCTTGCTCGCGCCATCGACTTGGCTGAGTCAACTTTTGTTAACAAGTCATGAGGTTTAGTATCAGGTACAGATAGATTTCCAATACCAGCCGACCTTTTGTATGTAGCAACCTGCTCTGGAAGCAAGCTAGAGTTGCTTGAGGAAAGGAAGAGAGAGTAAGAAGAATGCTAGCCAATTGTATGTAAAACTTTTCCAATATAATCAATTTATCCTTACCATGCACCCTAAAATCTAAATTTCTCTTCCCTGTCCATCATAATGCAAGTGATGGGCACTTTATTCAAATACTGCAAGCATCTATCAAGAAAACCAGTGATTTAATTTTTAAGAATAGTTCAATTAATCAGGTTTTAAATTTGTTTTTAATAATAATTATGAATTCAAGTCCTTTCAGATCACTAAAAGCTAACTTTAAAATCCAAATCCGTGAGATTAGTCAAAGTATTGGCAAATTAACTTCAACATCCATATTCATTAAAAAAAAAAAAAAAGTGTTTTGTTTTTAAAAAAAAAGTGTTCTGCTTTTCAATCTTACAATGCCCGCAACTGTTCCCTGTGCTTGACATTAGTTATATGCTTCCTTATTGAACATTGTTGAACAAGAATTTGCAAGAAATAATCCTTTCATCCGTAATATTTGGGTAACTAGCAGGCTCTATTTAAAGGGATTTCTTACCATGACAGGAGAACAAGGAAAGCCTGTCAATCTTTTTTGTATTTTAACACTAGAAAGACGTTCCAACATTACAGGCTGCTTCTATTCTAGTAGGCCTCTTCTAGAGCATGGGCGTATCAGTTGGTTTTCATGGATGCTTCTGCACCTGAGCCTCTTGACTAAATCATACCTTCAACCAGGGCGACGTTATTTTTTATAAGGTAGAAATGGTTGCCATTTCAGTGTTTTCCGCAGGCGAAGATAATTTCTCCAGTTTCAGCATCTGCAGAGAATTTCAAAGTAGTTCAGCATCTTTAAAGAACTAATGGTGTCCCTTTGTTGCTTCAATTATCTCTCACCACCTTCAGAATATCCATCACTTGCAACTATTGCTTGTAAAAATCTCAGAATACAGTAAAAAAGAACCATAAAATATAAGTTCAACTGAGATGAAAATAGAAATGTACCACTACCTGAATAATATCAATCTAACCTGGGACACCCAGCAATACTCTTAGCATATTTCTATACCATAATCACCCTAAAAAAAGACAGTGATCACAATTAATACAGTATCTGACAGCTAAACTTCTGCCTAAACCATCCAACTAGCACGTAGTATCACAAAAGTTACTTGTCACGTCATTAAAATCCCAAACTTAGATAGTGTTTATTTTTACATTATAATCGTGTTTTTTAAAAGGTTTTCAATTTTTATATTATTTTAATACATCAATATAAAATATATATATATATATATATATATATATTCACCTAAAAAACACCATAAAAAACAACCAATAATACAATAACAAACCATATCCGATGACATCCATAAATTGCACAATCAACAAACAGTAACCAGCACATTTATCAAAGATCATATTAATCACCCCTTGATCAAAGTATCAATGCACACAAAATCACAGCAAATCACAACACATAAGCACCTATAATCATGATCACCATCATCTTTTACTATCATAATCAACGATCTCCGAATCAGTAACCGATCTCGAGTGCTGAACTATAGACCGTCCGATTGAATTAATCCAATCCTCCTTTTCCTTCTCAGAATCTGCAATAAAATACATGGTATCGTTCCTCGTAGACAACTCGAATGCGTACTGTTTGTGAAGCACGTCCTCGGCTCCTTTAACTGTCAAGCAAGAGGCAACTGGGATAACGCCACGTGGCTTACACACACGAGTCACGGTGGAATCTTTGAACCAGAAGAGCTTTCCTTCTTTTAAAATGAACCACCGGCGTCTCCATGTCTTGATGTGCTCCCCTTGTTTCATTAACCACCCTGTTCGTTCTGGGTTCGACCAGAACTCGACCCCGTCCGTTTGGGTTGATTGGGTTTGCGTTAGGGCCGTTGCGGCACGCCAGAGAGATGCCATGGAGTCAGAGAGTGACATGGGGGGTTCGGATTTAAAGGGGAGAGAGTTCCAGTTACCGACGAAATCGAGGTGGGAAAGAAAGGGATCGAAGGGTTTTCTTTTTCTAATTTTCTCCTCCCTCGTCGGTTTTATAGAGTGACAATGTTCTTTTCTTTTTTATCTCTTCTCCATTCCCTTTTGCGATTCTTTCTCGATAGATAAAGAAAATATCCATTTAACGTTTTATTAAAGCGAACAAAAAAATAAAATTTGCCGTAGATTTATTAAATTTTATCATAATTTCCTATCATGTACTGTCATGGTATGTTTAATACACCGAGTGACTTGAATTTGATCTCTTTCTTCTCCTTTCTTAATATTAAAAAAGATAAAGAAAGGGAAAGGGAAAGGGAAAATTTTATAATGTTAGTAACTACTAGCTAGTGGTATTTTATTTACTTTTAAAAACCAGTTAAATAAAAGAGGGAAAAAATATAATTAATAATTCACGAAAAAATATAATTATTTTGGGTTTCTTCTTCTTAACAAGTCTTGTTTATTTTAGTAAACATAAAATTTTTAATAGAAATAATTTATTCTATTAAAAGAATATGTACATGTTTGGTATGTAATCGAAAGTTAAAAACATCATAAATGTTTATGATGTTATAGAATTATATTTGGAATCTATTTTAAAAACTATAAGAATAAAAAAATAAATTGAATCCAATTTTCATAAAGAATTTATTATTAATATAATTTTTTTAATATATTACATGTAAAAAAATAAAAAATATTAAATTTATAATGATATTTGAGAATTGTGTTGAAAATAAAAAGTAAATGAATGCAGTGAAAAAATTTTAAAGTGAAAAAAAAGAGAGGGGGGGACAAAAGGATAAAAAAGGGTGCTCACGGCTCACCAATAGCACGTAGGGCAGTCCCGCCTAGCCTTGCTTCATTTTATTTTTTTGTTTTTATCAAGGGGTGGATGTCGACAACGTGTGTTTTTATTGCTGCCCTTAGCTCTTGAATTCCCAACACATAGACTTGTATGTGCATTGAGAGCTACGAAATGAATTTATTTATTATCAAAACAATTAAATAAATATATTAAAATAAAAACCTTATTTGTTAGAGCTTAATAAATATATTAAGCTCGCGTCGAAATAAGAGAAGCAGGCGAAATGACCATCCTAGCTGCTTGCGAAGGCCATGCCCCGGCACCTTCCAGATAGATACAAGCATTTCAAATTGAAAGTGCCATCCGGCTACAAACAAATATTTCATAATTCTCTGGTTGCCTTAATATTGAATTATTGAATTTAGATCTATAGTATGTTTTTGCTATTTCGTTAAAATCATACGCCTTTTAGACTTCACCCGATTCTCATGCATTCTCGTAAATTACTTATAGCATCTTTAAATCTCTCTTAATTAAATTGAATTCAATTTCCAGTTTAGAATCACCGAATAAAAAAACTCAATTTTGAAAAAAAATCTTTATGCTTCTCGAGGAATGAGAAGCAAAGAGAATAGTAGGTAAAAAACTCTATTTCTTGTTCTTATTACAAGATTGTGACTGGGTCGATGCATGTTTTGTAAATAAAATCTATGAGAATGAAAATAATATATATATATATATATTTGGAACATGAAAACATGATTAAAGTTGTCATTATTACTTTTTATAATTAAGTGGATGAAGGGAGTAGCTTCTTAATAGATCAAACAATCTAATGACTTTGAAAAAAATTAAATGAGAAGACATATGATATAAAAATATCATATAAGGTTCTGTAGTCTTAATATTTAAATTTTAAATAAAATTCAATGTTTAAAAATAATATAAAAATAAATTTAAACATCAAAGCTTTGACTTGCTATATTAAAAACAATAAATTAATGTTAAAAATAATTTTTTAAAATATTTAATTACCTGATTTATCACTTTTATCTCTTTTTGTTGGAAGCAAACATGCATCCCTATTAGAACCATGACCACACCATCATCAAAACATTATACTCTTGTCTTTTCTTCTTGTCCCATTGTAGATCATATTGGTTATCCTTGAATTTGTGGCTGGTGTTGTCGTGGGAAAGTGGGGACTTGAAAAAAGGTATTAGAATTTGATTTTATGAGTTATTTGTCGTGATGCATTGGAATAGGATGAAGATGTTGAATGTAATATATAAAATAAAATGAAATGAATTCAATAATAAAAATATATTCAAAACATATGAATTTTTTTTTTTAAAAAAAAACTCCACTCAAAAAGTGATTATTCGCGAGTTGCAGCACATAAAAGAACAAAAAGTATTGATGAGCACCGAACAAGGCCAGGGGAGATTGAAATTCACGCCTGCAAAGACGAAATTTGATAAAATTCCAAGATAGAAAATCAAAATTCGAAAGTTCTAAATAAAGTTTTTGGATTTTTGAATCATTTAGATTGTTTGTTTTTGTATTTTAAATAAATTAATTTTTATGTTATTTATTTATTTTAAATAGTTTTAAATAGTTTTAATTTGAAAATATTAAAAATAAATTTAAAAAATAAAATATTTTTAAATCGTTTTAATTTGAAAGTATTAAAAATAAAATTAAAAAATTAAAAATAATATTTTAATATATTCTTAAATAAAAAAATATTTTAAAAATAACATTAAAAATATAAATACAAGCCAGGAGCCCCAAAGGAAAAGAAATATTTTTGAACCCCATCCAGCACGTGCTGTGCCAGGCTTAGTGTCAATCATGGGTCCTGACCACTAACAATTTATTTCTATAATTAAATAATTTTAACGTCAGACAAATCAACAAACATGCCAATTGCCAAGCCAGGACTTTAGTCACAATTTACATCATAGCTAGGTGACGAGTATCAAGATTTAACATGCCTCGTAATTTGGTTGAGATGGTAGATAGTTAGCTAATCTTTTACTTTTTTATTTATTTTTTATAATTAAAATATCTAATAATATGATATAAAAATCTAAAAAATAAATAATTTGTAACAGTTAATACTAGGTAAATTGGAATGGTTGATAGCTACGATGATAATGCATCGTTGTTCATATAAAATATTTATTTTTATAAATATATGAGGACTCTTCAATAATAAAATTAATAACTCTATAGAGAATATAATAATACTTTAAAAATATAAATTTTAAAAAAATATTAAAAAAATTAAAAATAAATAGATTTTTAATATTTAGCTCTGATAATTTATAATATTTATATTCCACGAATCTTTTTCTTTGAAGAGTTTTTACTTGTTTATCTTATTTATATTCATCACTAGAAAAGGAAGGTAGAGTAATCCATTTTTTAGTTTGTTTAGTTGAAATATCAACATTAAAATTTAAAAGAGCTTATTAAATTCTTTGCACTACATCATGTCAATTTGAGAGTGAATTCTTAAAATCATTTGAAAATATGATTTAATCTTCATGAATATATTATTATTGTTAAATAAACTCAAGGTTATTGTTATTTTAATTTTCATACCCTTCTCTCATCCAATCAAAGCAATTATAAATTATTTGATTTTATTTAATGCTCGTATAATTTATTTATTTATCTCATTTTATATCATTACTTTTACTGACATACCTCTTTGATAACTGGAGTCTTTTCTTCTTCGACATATTCACAGCAAATGGAAGTGGAAACGTATGTTTCCAATTAGAAACTAATTAGTTTACAATACCATGTGATTTTTAATTTAATTGTTGATGTGTATTTTGTGTTTTGGATGATTTATGCCTCATTTTTATATATTTATTGCTTTTAAAGTGAATTACCAAATGATTTTTAGTCGTGTAATGGAAAACTATAATAAATTAATATTTTAATTTCAAGCTTCAGCTAATGGTAAAGTGCTGTGCAATTTTATATTTTTTTTAACACTGTTTATAAAATTAATCCTAGTGTATAAACTCCCTCTCCCTCTCTCTTTTTATATAAGAAACAAGCATTAATTTTTAAATCAACAAAAATAACAGAAAAGAATCATAAACATGACGTCCCTCGTTTACGCTGTCGAATGGGTTTACGTTAATAAAACCCGTAAAAAAATAGAAAAGAGAAAAACACAACAAAAGGCCCATAATAAGGAGCCTGATTATTAGGCCCATGTACACACCAAAGCTGAAGCCCGCCAATTTATTTATCCGTGCCGAATACGATCACGCACTAACCGCCTCTCATTTTTAACTGCCTGAAACCGAGAGAGAGGGAGAGGGGGAGGGAAAGACAAACGCCAAAAACAATGTCCGCATTTTCCGACTCGTTCGCACAAAGTGAGTCAACTCGTCCTGTTGACGACGACGATTCCTACGCGGGTTACAATTCACAGCCCTTCGATGATTCATTCGCCACCGGCGACGATGTTTTCGAGTCGCAGCCACCGATCCACGGCCAGTTCTCACCTCAAGGGAAGGGAGAGTTTGGTGGATCGGAGGGTCAGATTTCGCTGTCACCGTCGGAGACGGAGGCTGAGCAGGGACCTGCTCTCATAGAATGGAGAAGGTACGTCTAATTAATTTGATTTAATCTTTTTGGCCTTTGATAATTTGATTTAATTTCAGTGTGACTCCTGAGAAAATTTGATTTAATTTGATAATTTGATTTAAGGAGAAGGTACCTGCTCTCATGATTTAATTTGATAATTTCAGTGTGACTCCTGAGAAAATTAGAAAGGAAAAACTAAAGGTAATTCGATTAAAAACTGTAGATATGTTCTGTGTAGTGAAATTTGAGTGTTCATTATAATTAGGAGTTCTGATCGCTGAAAAGAATTTAATACTTGTTTCAATCAGTGAAACATCATTGATTTGTACTGATCAAGAATTATGTTTGAAATGATTAAAGAAATCTGTAATTCTGTTTATATATTTGATTGTGTTCGTGCATGATTCAATCTGGTGAAAGTGTGTGCGCGTTTGCTTAAATAAAGATGGTCTTAGTTAATTATGGTTGCTGGTTTTTTGAAACCAAGGCAAAATGTGATACTATTGGAGGACAAGGAGAGGAGGGAAAAAGAGGTACTGAGCCAAATAATCAAGGAAGCTGAAGATTACAAAGTTGAATTTTACAAGAAGAGGCAGTTCACTTGTGACAGTAATAAAATCACTAACAGGGAAAAAGAGAAGGTCAGGTTTTCTCTGAGCAGATGTTGCTGTTTTCTTTGTTCTTTGTTTGAGAATATTTGCATCTTGGCTCTGTTAACTTTTGGACAATGGAGTGGTGCAAATATTATTTTTATTGTTATTTAAGCTTTCATTTGAGTGTGCTCTATATTCCCATGAATGTAATGTTCTAAATCCACCGTAGAGGTGTTGTTATGTGGTATAGCATGTGCAAGAAAGAGCTTGGTTAAACCATTTTTTGGTGCAATATGCCTAAAAGCGTAATGTGGCATGTTTGTTTCATGCTTCTGTAACTTCTATGTCGCTAGGACGCTAATATGATCATTGGAAGAATTAAAAGTCTGGAGTGGTTGCATTGGATGCATTCAGGTTTTGAATTATTTAGATGTTGTCATTCTCTGAGAGTTGCAACATGTAACACTGCATTTGCTCTCCTGATCGACAATGTGAGTTAGAATGGGATAAGAAACCAATTGATTCCTACTCAAGGATAGTTTGTTGTGACTCGATTGGATTCCTGAAGGGCTAAGCAAATTAGGATCTTGCGCTCAAGATTCATAGTACTATATATTTGAATTCTGGATTATTATTAATTTAAAACATCTATGGTAAAGGAGGGAGGGCCTATATAGTTTCACTCCATCATCACTGAAGTTGTCCAAGTTATTATCACATCTGTAGATGCTACTTGTTTCGATGCCAAAATTTTCTATCAGCTACTCAATAGTCATTTATCAATTGCTTCATACTGGTCATGTAATCTTTTCACTGAGGTCCCAAATGTAGAAGAATACATGTTAGTTCTATATTGTCAAGCAATTGATTTTTACATGTGCAACCAATTCTTGGCAACTTGAAAGGAAAAGGTCATGTTTATAAGCAGAAAGCACCTAACACGGTGTAGGAACTATGCACACCCATGTAGCATGGTCATAATATAATCTTCGGAGTGATCAGATTTGATATTTTCTCCCCCCCAAAAAATATGTATATATAAATATAAGTTGTCTATCTAGCCTTTTCACTTTTGAAGATTCTGTTTGGCATTTTCTGGGTCCACAACTTCCTTTGCAGCATGACTACCAAAGCTGCCATCCTTGTCCTCGAAAGCTCGTTTTATGCTGCATAGTGAAAGTAGGTTACCTGTTTTTTATTTTATAGATTATACTCTATGCCTATTTATTTAGGAGGGCACTGATGTACTGCAAACTGGGAAGGAAGATGATTGAAACTAGTATGGTAGAACTTGCACTTTTACACGCATAACTTTTGAAATTGATATATTAAATTAGATAAGTGGATTTATTTCCATTGCTAGGTTGGCTGCCCAGTGCTGAACTTACTAATGAACTTAAATCACCATTTCCTTTGGCTGAAAATTGAGCGGTGAAATTTGCTGTTGTTAGGAAATATTGCACTGCCTGTAAAGTTAGTATTTTAAATAGAAAGTCGTGGTACTGATTTCTGAAGAGTAATGAAATAGTGAATCATATTGTTTTCTGACTTGCATCTTCTTTTTTCTAGTTATTTCTGGCCAACCAAGAAAAATTCCATGCTGAGGCTGATAAGAATTATTGGAAGTCAATTGCAGAGCTCATTCCTAATGAAGTGCCAGCTATAGAGAAGAGGAAAGGGAAGAAAGATCAGGAGAAGAAGCCTGCTATTGTTGTGATCCAAGGCCCAAAGCCTGGGAAACCGACTGAACTCTCAAGGATGCGGCAAATACTATTGAAATTGAAGCATGATACACCTCCTCACCTGAAGCATTCCCCAGCAGCAGCATCCACTGCTAATGCTGCTAAAACCTGTGATGCCACAGGAGTAACTACTTCCATCAAGGCTAATACTGTGGTGACTGCTTCTGAGCCTGTATCTGTTGCTTGATAATTTTGTTGTTGCTTTCATTCTCCATTTATTGAAAGGTGCAAGAACTCATTAGAATTTGGTTGGTTTGGCTAACCTTTTTAGATATGGTTCCCTGTTATACTAGACTGCTATTTTATTTTATTTTGCCTTTATTGTGCACACAACTAGGGCATTTGAGCAGGTTTATGATTTTATACATTGCTTATAAAATTTCACAACAGCTTTTTCTAGCAGTATGCTGTTATTCTGAGGTTGGAGACTGTAAAGCCGGATGCGCCAGGAACACGAAGTTTGGTGATTTCATGATTCCAACAATCCAGTTCATCTGTTGTCCTACGCGGTGGATGAGTGTTTGAGCTTGAAAAGCTCTTGGGGGCGGTGCAATCCTGTTTTTATCACGTGGATGTCGGCAAGCTAATGAATCTTTTAAAGTAATCATGGAAAATCTGATGTGTTGGGCCGCTGGGCGGCGCTGTTTTTGTGGTCCGCCTATTTGGGTTTTAGTTGAGTTGTGTGGTCTTGCTACCGAACGACTTAATCTGGAAAAGAAAGATGGTTACCTTCAGATGACTTTTTTCTTTTGGGGATTAATCTCAACTCACATCTCATGGCTATGGGTACATGAGTAACATTACTGCATGTGGTCTAGCTTCCAAGCGCTGGAGTTGGAAATGACGCTGCTTGCAAAGCTTGACCCCTTTCCTTTTGCACCTCTCAAAAGTGTTTTCATTGCCTGCTTCGGCGGTTTTAACCCCCCTACTTCGCACTTATCGTAGGTTTTTTTATACTTGAAAATGTTTAGTCGGAGGGATGGAGTTACTAGTAACTTCATCTAATCTGCAAGGTTTGAATCTTTGCCTCGCCAATGGGCTGGGAGTTGATACTCTCCGGTTACGTCTATGCCAGCCTGCCTGCAACTGGACCTGGAGTAGATTTTGCCTTGAAACTCATCCGAGTAACCGCAACTCAGACTAGGCTCACACGACCACAAGTTCCAAGTTTGATCCCGAGTACCCTGGAGGCCCGGTGCCTCCCAGGAGCATATGTTATCGGTTTGGATCCCTGAAGGGTTTGATGGTCCAATGAGTTCAAAGCATGCCGTCTTCAAATGCTAACATCCTTAGACAGAAGGCTCAAATCAGATGCCTTTGAACTATCCAAACCTCAGGACAAGATGGTACACGCAACATACTGTTCTCTGACTAAACATGCTATTTGTCATCAACCAAAGGAACAAAACATATATGCATCTAAATGTGAGCATGCTTGTACAGGTGTCATCTCAAGAATCGGTCTAATAGTCATCATCAACGGTTCGCAATCTACAACGCCAACTTTCGCAGCGGTCACCTGCATTTCTAGGTATTTGTTCCGAAAGAGTTCAAAACTATAAATGATAAACGTAAAGACCACTTTGTCTTTGTATGGTCACACCCACACGGATCCAAAGCTATACATACACAACCTTGAACCCACAAAAAAACCTTAATTAAATATTGTTGTGTAACCTACACCCACACACGTACAGTCTTACAAAGTTTTTCTCTCTTTATGGATAAAAAGCAATTATCATCACCATCATTCATCGCTACATAACCACCACCTCTACAAGCATCCTTACCACTACCACTATCATCAACATCATTCTATCATCATATTATTTCTGACAGCATTGCTTACCTAGCATCCTAAATGTTTTTTCCGTAGCAAAACAAACGCAAATGAAAGGCATCGAGCATGGATAATGATACAGCATTAAATCCCCCTCGGCGGTAGTCACAAAGCAGGTTGGTAAGTGTGAGCCCACTTACCCAAAAATTCTGCTGTCATTTTTCTTGACAAGAGTGCTGAAATCCAAAACCAGTAAGCATCTGCAATTTCTTATAACCTCGGTCGTTCTATTCATATTGGAATGCCAGATAAGTGACACAAAAAATATTGACATTATGCAAGGCAGGGGTGGACGGGGGGAGGTGGTTTATTCAGAATACCCCACCTGTAGAAAATTTGCAATAAAGACTGTTTCTACTTATAACTGATTTTCCTAATTATACAAAGGCAACGGATTACATAAAACTTAATCGCCAACCAATCTAGCAAACTTTACATCAAATATAGAAAGAAGGCTCTGGTCAGATTTTTCCTTTTCTTTTTTTTTGTCCCCTGGAAATAGGTTCCTCTTTTAAGTGTCAAGCTGGTTGAGGACCCAGAAGAATACACGTGGTGATTAGAATGGGAGTTCATAACTCAAATGTTTAATTCTGAACATCACCTGCCTCGTAGAGGAGAACGCCCACCTCTCCCACTGCCAATATCATCTTCCAATTCAATCCCATCCAAACAAAGACCATTGTTGTTGACACTCACTTCTGAACTAGCATTACTGCTCGTTGCAAGAGGGGAGTCTGAAACACTAACTGTCCTGCTTCTTGCAGGCCCTGATCTCACACTGTACATCGAAGATGCTGGGATATTAGTCATCAAAGGCCGTAAATTACCAGGAATGGTGCGCCTTATGTCCTGCACAGACAAAACAAAATCAGAACAAATAGCTGGATAAATAAAGCACTTAGTTGCTCGACTCGATCTCTCTATCACTTTGGATAAATATCATCTCAAGGAACTGAGAGAGATGGGGAATAAAATAAGAAAAGAAATGAAACCATGTCAAGTTTTGTTTGACTTCATGAAAACTGGAAACAAATCAACATATAGAAGAAATGAAAGATAGCTATCTCGTGAAATATTGATGCAGTAAAAGGATTAGAAATTATCCACTTGGAAACACTTATGTTCTACCACCAAGGGTTCTTGTCTCCAGTTCAAAATAAAAAATAGACTAAATGGACTATGCGTACCATATGTCTAATGGCCATATCCAAAGATTTCTTTGAGAGTGTTCTTCCAAAGCCTGAGCTGTCTGGAGATGAAGACTTCCCAGTCAGAATACGAGGAGAATGTTTGTCATCTTGCTTGGGAGGTGCCAGCTTTCGCATATTTATCACTCTGTCAACCATTTTGGTTCCAATAACGACAGGGCTAACATTGTCATTAATTTTAGAATGCCCACGACTAAATGCAGGAACAGAACTCCCACTGGGGTGCATAATGCCATTGGGGCCACGTCCTCTTGATGGAGAGCATGATTGTCGTCTTGGACGTCCATTAGGAGGAGGCTCAACGGAGGAGGATCGAGCACTGGGTGCTCCAGGCCTACCCCTAGTAGCTGAAAGTGGCCGTTCAGGTACTGTAGTTCTTAAATTTGGAGGAGCATCAAGTGAGAAACCAGGCATCTCTGAGGGCTTCCATGGCCTAGATTTCACTGTTGGCGAAGAGCCACGTGATGGGACAGGATTTCTAGCAACTGTGGGAGCTGACTTGGTAACTGTAGAAGCTGACTTGGTGACTAAAGATGATGACTTAACAGGAGGAGCAGAAAGGCTTGGTGAACTAGATGGAGTGGATGGCCGTCGAGTTGGGGTTGCAGCCCTTGATGTCGACTTAGATGGGGGTATAGAGGGCCTTGCAGTCGGCATTGAAGATCGTGTTGACCTTGATGGTGTCGAGGATCTTGCAGGAACTGTGGACTTCATTGTAGAAGTAGTCAATTTAGCTGCAGAGACAGTTGGTTTAGCTGCGGAAACTGTGGGCTTAGATGAGGACAGAGTGGCCCGAGAGGTAGGTGTTGATGATCTTGAAGGTTTAGAACCTGTAGTCAGCGTGGGGCGTCCAGTTGGTGTTGAAGGCCTAGATCCTGGACCACCAGATGATGAGGGCCTGCGCATTGCTGCACCTGAAGAGTTCAACACAGGAGAGGAAGCAGGTTGTTTGGATACCAAGTTGCCCCTTCGAACAGGATCTGGCTGAGGGCTAGCTAGCTATGATCACAATGAACAGAATTCACTTAGCATATTAGTTGTGAACTCAAGCATCATAGGACCAAAAAGTTTCTAAAAAGAAGATAAAAACGAAGACCAAGCATAGATACAAATGAATTTTAATTAACTTTTACTACATGAGAGGAAACACCAAGCATAGCTATGGTTTCAAAACTCTTTAACAATTATCTTTAGTGGTTAACGTTCAAAACTCTTTGTTTTCTTCCAAAATTGGATGTTTAAGCTAACACGGTCTAGTGAAATCCAGAAACCAAGAATTCAAGGCAAGTTTGTTGTTTGTCAAGGAAACTGGTCAAATAAATGAATACAAGAAGCTTCAATTGTTTCATAATAAACTTGCATAGTTTGACTTGTTGATAATAAAAATGGATATGGAGCAATAAATTCTATGCAATTCAGATGCTTCTAAACACAATCTTTTCTTTCAACTAAAACCATCACAACAATGCACTGTGCCTGTTTTTCCTTTAACAAAGTGGATTGCATGAATCAACTTTAGTAACAGGCAACTATATGAACAATAGTGCTCTTACTCTAGATTTCAGAGCAGTCGGGCAGGCCTTTGGAGTACCAATCTGACTCATAATGGTCTTTTGTGATTCCACCTCCAAAGAAGGAAAAAGAGGGGTACCAGGAGGAGTTAGAAGCCTGAAAACAGATGATAAATCGAATTAACATCAGTTTACTGGCACTGTTTTGTTTTTAGCTCATTACATCTATGTGAAACAAGGAATTGAATTTTTAATATAATATACACTTACAAGCTCCACCTATGAAATTTATGTTGCGTTGTTAGGCAACAGAATATGTCTATCTACTGATTATACAATTGTGGCAGTTTATCAAGAAGTCCACAAGCTGATGAAATAAGATCAAACTCATAAAATACATTGGAGAAAATTGATAGTTTGCCTATTCCAGAGAAGTATGATCAATCTCTGAAAATATGATTGGAGATCTTGAATTTTACTTTCTATAAATAACAAGAAACTGCCAGCTTTTCCCACCTTACAGAAGCCTATCCTCCAGAACAAGAAAATGGTCTAGGCCCAACCTCCTATAGGATTCATTTTGATGTCCATACAGCTTATTCTTAGAAAAGATAGCAACTTAGATTACCAAAACTCCAGCAATAAGATTTTGCATTGGTTTTGGATTCTATAGGAGAAATCAAATGGTCACATTCCTTCCACCAAAAACTTCAGATCTCTCTTTTTTTCCAATTAAGACACGAATAAGAGGGAGAAAATGCATCATACAAACTTTCTACACCGACATGCAGCAGCATTCAGCAGTCATAATTAAGACACTTCATTGAAAGAGATACAAGAATCTTATCAAGTTGCTATCAGCAAGTTATTATGAGTTTAACGAAGGTATTATTTCGACAAAATATAATGTGCTTCTATCAATGCTTGAGGATGACAGGAATTTCTCCAACGATATGAAGTATTGCAAAGTTATCATCAGTCATATCTACAAAGTGCATCCACTTCAAGGAAAAGGCACAAATTATCAACAACTATAAGCCTTTTCTTCCTTTCCCATCTCTTTTTTTCTCTATAGATAGTCCCTTTCTTTCAAATCTTTTCTTTATAATAGACCCGAGCTAAACAAAGACCAAGTAAAACTAGAGCAAGAAAACAAAATGGAAAAGCTAATACTAAGCAACCAAAAAAAAAAAAAACGGATAAAAATTTGAACCAAATAAACATCTTCACCAGATCAAATCCACGACAAAAAAAAAAAGAAATAAGAGTAAAAAGCATTACTACCAAACGGTGCTTCAGAATCTGCAGTATTGTTGATTAAAAACAAATTATTCTGCTCTTTCTCACGCTTCTTCATTTCCAAAAACAAAGCTAGCTCTTCTTCTTTTTCTTTCATCATTGTAGCTCTTAACTGTTGTCTTTGCTTCACCACTGCTGCTTGCATTTGCGAGTCCTGTGCCCTAAAACTACGATTCATTTTATTCAAATCTTGAGAAAAAAAGTAAGAAAACCTCTCCAAGCAAAAAACCCTCAAAATTTCACGGATCGAAAGCTAAGAACAAGCTTCGTTTCTCATACACGCCTTTTAGATCTAAAATTGCATTCGAAACGCAGCATTTTGAGGTAGCTACGCTTTACAGAGCTGAAAACTACAGAGACAGAGAGCACAGCTTCAAGAGAGCTCCGTTGTTAAGTCAAAGCCCTGAGAGAGAAAGCAAAAACAAGTACCGTTGTTGTTACACAAAATCTGAGAAAAGAAACACTTGCAGAGAGAGAAACACCCAGAATTTCTAGAGAGAATTTTGGAAGAGAATGAGGAGAGCTGGAGAGAAAAAAAATGGAGATGAAGGAGAGACAATGGAGAGAGAAATGGGGTGAGTGGCAGTGAGTGTGATTAAGGGGAGATGTGAAGGGTGAAATGGTAAAAGAAAGAAGAGAGAAAAGGCAGCGGTTTTTAATTGATAATGGGGTGTGGTGTGGTTGGGAGTTGGAGGCAGGAAGGAGTATGGTATACCCTTTTTATTTTTAAAAGTATTAAAATAATATTTTTTTTATTTTTTAAAATTTATTTTAATTATAGTATATTAAAAAATTAATTGAAAGTAAAAAAAAGGGGTTGAAAACTCGCATAAAATACACTTTTAAAAGAAAACAACTGTAACTGTAATAGAGACAGTGAGGGAGAAAGGACTGCTGGTTGTTGTTTCTCTTTCTCACTAATTAAAGCATCCGTTTCAGATTTTCTTTTTCTTTTATTTTTTAATTTCTTTTTTAGGTGGGTGGATTATCACGATGTTACCCCCTACCTTTCCTTAATGTTATTGCTTTTAATCTTTTGGATTGGTGGGTTTGTTTCCCAGTGGTGCCCTTGACTTCTTTTATCGTTATTATTAATGGCCTTTGTTTGGGGAATTTTTTTATTTTATTAACATCATTATTTGAATTAATTTGTGGCCTTTGTTTGGGGAATTTTTTTTATTAACATCATTATTTGAATTAATTTGTATGTAATTCAATTAATATTAAAATTAATAATTATATAAGTTTTTAATAATTTTAAAATTTATGAAACTCAATAAGATAATCTCTCTCTCTATATATATTTTTTTAATGCTTCCTTCAGTTGGTGATATAATAGTTATTCCAAGATGTCTTTTTTATTTCTTTATTACAATTATCAGGTGCATTTACGTTCCCAATGCAAGAAACAATAATTTTATGAAACCTTGTATTATACAAATAAAAATTAATGTAATATAAAATCAATATGAAACAACTATTTACATTGTAAGAAGTTATTTTCAGTGATCATGTACATTAATCTGTTCGTGATCACTGGTTTTATTTTTTTAGTGGAATTTTATCTTGTTTCGTCTGCCGAGTAGTAACGGCATAAGAAATTGTTTATAAAAATACTACTTCGTAAACTGCCATTGCAGCGTGGAGTGGAGAGACCAAAGTCTTTTTAAATGCAAAAAACAAAGGTTCAGATACCAAGGAATTCTTTCATGTTATTATTAAATATGAAATTTCAGTCATTTTAAAATATTTTTTTCAATTAATATAACTTTTTTTAATTAATGTATCTCATGTTTGCTCAGTATTTTAAACTGAAATCATTGTCTATATAAAAAAAATTTATGATTGTTAAAGTAATTTTTTTAAAATATATATAAAATTATGATTGTTAAAGTAATTTTTTAAAAAATATTAAAACAATATATCCATATGTGGTTGAAAACTAAAAATATTATAAATATAATAAAATCATGTTAAAATTCTATTTAACAACTTTAAGAATAAAAAATGATTTGGATTGGATTTTTATAAACAAATTATTATTATTATTATTATTATATTGTAGTTGAAAAAAGAAATCATTAAGAATCACATGCAAACCATTTTGACCCGTATCCAATTGGGCTAATACCAAATTGTTTTTAGTTGAGCGTAGAAGCCTACCGTAGTCAACGCCACTTGTCCATACTCTAGCCAGTACATTTCCATTACGATGGCCAATGAAACTTGGAGCCGAAGTATGGTTCTTCCATGGTGTTGTGCTTGCCATGGTTTCGACGAGGCTATTCTACCTAGTCCCATGATGGAGAAGCTATCATTGCTCCTTGAAAAATATTAAAACTGGTTGGCGAAACAGTTTACTCGAAAGAATCTTCATGGTAAAAAAAAAAATAGTATTTTTGGAATAATATAATTACTGTAGTAATCAAGTGTCTCCACTTTGATTTGTTTTTACGACGAGACTATTCTACCTAGTCCCATGATGGAGAAGCTATCATTGCTCCTTGAAAAATATTAAAACTGGTTGGCGAAACAGTTTACTCGAAAGAATCTTCATGGTAAAAAAAAAAATAGTATTTTTGGAATAATATAATTACTGTAGTAATCAAGTGTCTCCACTTTGATTTGTTTTTACCTGTTTTTTTTTATGATTTGATTTTTTTTTTAGAGATTATATAATACTATCAAAAGTCAAACACATAAATTAATTTGACAATTTAAATTGAATTCAATTTTAAGTATTCCAAATAACCAGATAATGTAATGGAATTATGTGAATTAAATTCAATTCCATTCACATGTTAAATCAATTATTTTTAAAAAACGAATTTGAAATTCAATTTATATATATAAAAAAAACGTATAAAAGGAAATAAAAGAGGTAAAAAGGAATTTGAAATTCAATTTATATATAAAAAAACGTATAAAAGGAAATAAAAGAGGAGACCTCACGACTTGCTTCAATAATTCATTTTAAAATTAATATTAAAAACAATATTTTTAAAATACGCTTGCCAACACAAATCCTATCGTTACAAAACCCCCTCTATGGTCTCTCTCCTTCTCTCTTCTAGCCCACCTTCACTCCTCACACCTTTTTAAAAATCAGAGAGGGCTGCAAATCAAAGGAATTTGATGCTGATCACATGAGTAGCATAGTTGGTGCAAGGCTAACATTTCTTACAGGAAGAGCAATAAATGCAAGGGTTGAATGAGCAACCCTTTTGGTTCTTTTGCCTAGCTCTCACTGCAGCTAATAATGGAAGTTTGAAGACAGCAGGCAATACCCATTTTGATTTGTCTTCTTTGAGAACGAAACCTGAAGAAATTGAAGCAGAAGGTGAAGAAATCGTTAATAAAAATCTTGGCCGCTTCATATCGCCATCGCCGAGACCATCGGTTCTATTGCTCTCTTCAATCTGTTTCTGTATTTTGCTTCTGTTAACAGAAGGCTATTTCCAGCATCACATAAATAGAATCCATCCACCAGCCCAAGACATTTCTTCAAAAAATTTGTATCGTATAGATTATTTAATCATTAATTTATTATTTAATCTTGGATGAGTTTCTTTTTCTTCTCGTCCCTTTAGTTATAATTTTAAAATATTTTTATTGGTATCGCATTGTACCTACCATGAAAATAGTTTTTAATTATGTTTTCTTGTAAAAGCAAACAGAATATAAATAATAAAAAACTTAATCGTGTTGTTCTTTAGAAAGTAATTTTATCTCTCAAGAAATCATTAAGTAATGACATAATATTATTAGTCAGCTGCTTTTATTTATACAAGGTCAGCATGTGACTTTTTAACTTTAAGAAATAGGTTTTTATATTTTATGTCATTCTAATTAAATATAACAATTCTCACAACAACAAAAAAATGTTTAAGATTGTTAATTCGTTTTTTTAATATATTTCAAACAGTATAATTAAATTTAATCGTGTGTTTTAACCTTTTATTCTAAATATAAAAATTATAATAAGTTATTAATTAAATATTAATTTATTTATGATTTTAATTAAATTAAATTTTATATATGATTTGATTAGAATAATGACAATGGACAGTGGAAAACTGCAGCTAGCGGATAGTTCAAGTTGGCCCATTTCCATGGAGCCCAGGAGCTGTGCTACAAAATGCGCAATCTAAAGCTTAGCCGTGGGGGAGCGGACCACTCCGGACCAGGCCTTGTTTGCTGGTACTTGAACTTTCAATTAAGCGGATCGAATACTAGTGTGTTTGGAAATGTTATATAAATTATTTTAAATAAATTTTAAATTTTTTTAAATAAATTTTTTTATATTTTCATTATTTTTATGTATTGATATTTAAAAAATGTTTTTTAAAAAATAAAAAATATATATTTTAATAATTTTTTAAATACAAAACATTTTAAATTATTATTATTACTACAGTATTAAAAAAACCAAGCTGAGGCATGATCAAGCTAGCGATGGAACGGTAAGCAAGATACACCGTTGAGTGGCACCTTTCTTATCAGGCTTATAGATTGGTCGGGCTTTAAATCCCACGTTCCAGGACCGTGCTGTGCCTTTCATGAGATGTTTTATGTGCTTCAATCTTTACTTTAGTTAAATATTTCCCCTGTCAATTTTTAGTAGGAATTAATTTAATGTGTGAATTAATTTGATCTTTATTTTATTTTTTTATAATTCTTTAAAGTTTATTTAATTTTTTTCATTTTTTTAATCTAGAGAAAAGTTAAAAAAAAATTGTTGTTAATAACTTCTGATATGAATGAAAAGATTGTTATAAAATTTAGAATTCCTTTACTTATGAATCATGAAAAGTTACCTTTTACTTTGAGTTAAAATGATTTTCGTGTTAGAAATATGTCTGGTAAAAGTTGGTTGATGTAAGTTTTCGAATGATAGATATGATATAAGTTAAAACCAGCAAATTAGATTTTTATAATATTTTTTATTTAAGTTAAGAGTTAATTTAATTTAAATATGTTTATGATTTTTTACACGTCAAAAATAAAAAATGGCTTAAATCAACTTACAAAAGTCATATAGAGTATGCAACTCAGCTGGCAGCAGAGAACTCCTTTCTTCAACAAATCTCGTGTTCGAGTCTCTATTTTATAATAATAATAATAATAATAATAATAATAAACAAAAAAAGAGAGTATTCTTCATGTTTTTATTGTTCGGTCGGTTACACTGCACGACCAAATTGTTACTCTTGAAGGTATGCAGCTGATTTGATATGCACGAGTATGCATGAACTGTTGAAATTTGATGGCCCTATCATTCATGGCAATTATAACGAGTCTCGTGACTGCTATGGCCATCCGACTTTTCGGAATTATTTGAAAATATGGTTTAACTTGTATTTTATAATTTTTTTTATTAAAATTTAATATAATTTATATTTTTTTGAATCCTCTTAATGTATCGATATTAAAAATAATTTTTAAAAAATAAAAAAATATTATTAATATATATTTTAATATAAAAAATTATTTAAAAAATAATAACTACCACCTGCAAAACAAACTCTTTAACTGCACCGGAAAATCAGAGTTATTCAGGATAAAAAGGAAAATTCAAATGATTTCACGACACATGCCTGTGTATGTGCGAGGCCTATACACACGTATTAACCGTCAAGGGGTGTTTTTGACCACTGCCTTAACTGTTAAGCATCTCTTTACCCCTGGAGGAATAAATTAGTCGCGATAAATAGGTTTACGTCTCCTGTCCTGTGACACGGAGTTTGGATTCGATGATCATGGTAATTTACTCAAAATACCATTCAAAATAAATTCAATATGCAAATTATACATTCTTGTCACCAAAATAATATTAATCGTAAATATCTCTCTAATATTTTTAGATATAATTATTAGATTTAACCTAGAAAATAGCCCAAATAACTATATTATCAAATCAATCCAGATTAACAATCTTTTTATTAAAACAATATTATTTAATTTTTTTAAAAAAAATCTTGTATTAATCTAGTTGAGTTCAGTCAATTTATTATATCAAATATGTTTTATTTATTTAATTTTTTATTTAAATTAAAATTTTAATTCACAGTAAGTTTTAAAAATAAAATTTTCAAGCCAACCCATTAAAACAAACCATGTTTTATAAATTGTAGAGGTGGACTCTTGTCTAGTAATTTATGATAAATCAATATTTTATTAATAAATATTTATATATTTTTATCAATAAATATTATATTAAAAAAATACACAGGTTTAATTTTTATTAAATTCTCGGATGGTTTGAGTTGATATATGCCAACCCCAAAAATGCTAGAGGCGTGCTAGGTTTAAACTCAACCATGAATGGCCCCCTTGAGATTGGGCTTGAATCTATCATGGTTGAATAAAATAAATGAAATAAAATTTATATTATAATTTAAAATATTATAAATATAAAATTATATTTTAATTTTTTCTTTATTAAATAACAAAATTCATAGATTATAAATACATCTTAAGATATTTAGAATAAAAGTTTATAATTTTTATTTTTTATTGTATATATATTTTTAAAATATTTTTCTGTAGAATATTAATATATATATTTTTTGAAAATATATTAATTTAAATATTAGAGACTTCTCATCTTTATGAAATAAAGATTTTTTGCATCTATTAAGTACCAATCATGAATTATATTGACTTATCAAATATCAAATATAAATTATTAATTTTATTAACTAAAAAGAATGAATATAATTAATAAAATTAATTAATTAATTGTTTATCTAACTGTAAATTGTTTTCTAGCTTACCTTGAATATTTTTTGCCTTTATGAACGACACCTTTCGTATAAAAAAATATAAAAAAGCCATCAGTTTTTTTCTCAACGGGCACATACAATATTGAATACGACAACAAAAGACTTACGATTGACCTTAGAGCAGGACCACATAGAGAGAAAAGTTTCACCATTAATTCAACGCAGGCAGCATCAAGTGTGACATCGTCATTTATTCCTCCAGACAGCACATTCACCGAACTAAAGTAATGGAAAATCTAGCGACGTTTTTGTAAAAGTCGCGACACATGGGGTCTGTTTCTCAATCAAAGTGGATATGGAAAAATAGGAGAATAGACAAGGAAAATGATGGATACATACCGATCCATTTAATTGTTTAGTTAACAGGATCGGAAAAAAATAAAATTCCGTCCAGTTTAAAGTAAATTGAAGATTATAAATTAACGGATTAAATTTCTGTCTAAAAAAAATAAATTCGCTGGCAGCTTTTTATCTATACATGTGTATTTGATACAATGGTATATAATATTTTTAAAAATGTATTTCTTTGTTTAAAAATTTATTAAAATACTTTCTTTTATTTTTAATAATAATACATTAAAATTATAAAAAGACTAAAAAAATATAAATTTAAAGCAAACGGAGGTAGCCAAAATATATAAATATCAAAACAAAAACGACCTAAAAAGAAAGCAGCTGTACAAGTTGGATTTCCAATTCCAAATTCACTGCATCTACGCGTATGCTTACGCAACGTGCAACTTTTCTCGCATTTGTTATTCATTTCTCTCTGAAATAAAAAACGAAACCAGTAAAAAACGAAGAATCTTTGAGAATTGAAGCCAACACAGAGACAGACAAACTTGATCGAGCTAGACAGTCAAACGGCGTCGTTTCATAGTTGATAGTCGTGAATTTGGTTTCGTGAACAGGGGGAATGGAAGGGAACACGGGAAAAACCGACGCGAACAGCGGCAGCGGCAATAATAATCGGGGAGAAACCGTCGTTTCTGGTCATGGCCACCTTAAAAGTTCCCTTGGTTATTGCAAATCCACTGGTTGCACCAGCATCTTTCACGGTTTGTGTTTCTTTTTTTCGGGCAATTGATTGACGAATTATCGATTCTTTTGAATTGCTTGGGTATAATTTTTTTATTTAATATTTTTCTACCGATCTCATCTTTTAAAATTATATAATCTAAATAGGTTTGGGTGTGATTTTTTTAATTGTTTTTATTTGTCAATTTATTTATTTATTTATTGCTTTTTTTAATAAATATTTAGACTTAATTTTATTTTTAATTATTTTTTTTCATTAAATAAAAAATTGTTGAGGCCGTCACTGGTAATGAACGGGAAACGTATCAAATTGTTCTTTAAAATTATTGCTTCCTTTAATGTTATATTTTGCAGGATCTACAACCAGCTTTTGGCCCCGAGGAGAGGAGATATTTGGAATCCCGTTTGCATAGATACAAGAGGGTTGTGGGTGAAAAGCTGTCTGCACAAAAGGTGTCTTATTCACTTGGATGATCCTGTTCTTCCATTTGGGCCTTGTTACATCTCATCGCAATGGGAGATGAAGATCTTACCGTGAGAGCTGTGCTGCACCTAGTCCTGTTTGGTTTTCATATCGGAGGCAAAAATGAAGCCATTACTGATTTTCTACGCATCTTACTTCTGGAGTTCAGCATGATGACCTACTCCCACCCAGATCGACAGTGGTTTAAATGTCTGTCTCGTGTTCTCCAGCAGTTTATTCCTTGTGCTCAATGAGCGAACGTGGAAGTTATTTGTTCCTTTTTACCTTCAATTATTAAATTGAAATTTGGAATAGCTGAATGAGACATGCTGAAATAAATATTGGTTCTTTTTTCAAGGCTCTCTTTCCCTCTGCATTCCACCACTCTGCCCTGCCTACATGTTCGGAGATGAACTCTTCCACTTCCAGTTCTCTTGAGAGAGGAACTATCATTGGCATATCGTAGAACTAAAAACGAAAAAGAGCAATCAATCCCGCGGGGAATTGAACAAAAGAAATTCCGAGGCATCTTTTCTATCAGAATTCTCTTTCCATTATCTAGCATCTTACCACCATTATATAATAAACACCAATCTTATGCTTCAGAAGAAAAGATATTTACACTTACACTTCATCATCAACAATAGTTTTCTCAGCAGTTCGATAGCTTTCTAGGTGAATTATTTTTTCTTAAAATTACAACAAGACTTAGCTATGGTGTTCTGTATTAAAAACATGTTTCGTTTTTAAATCGTGGTTGGAATTGTTGCAGATTAAAAAGTAGTTTTTAAGTGCTTGGTTAATTTGTTTTTCAAAGTGATTTTTGTTAATAAAATTACTAAAAAGAACATGTTAAATTTGAACAAGAGGTGGATTGTAGTGTTTCTGTTCTATGGGGAGGCAACTAATGTCCAAGTTAAAAAAAAAAAAAAACAATTTCATGCTAGTTTTTGCTTTTATTTTGGAACAACTTTTTATATCAAAAACATATAAAAGGGTGGTTGGGAGAAAAAATAGAAGCCACCACTCTCTCAAATATCCTCGAAAGTGAAATTTAGGTTCTAATTTGAGGAGGAGGAAAAGGAGCAAGAGGAAGAATTACAGTCACTGTTTCAGTAGAACCATGCTCATCCCATCAAACGACGACCAGGATCGAAAGACAGCTAGCCGTCCCACTCATTTGAACGAGGATGTTGTGTATCTCTAGCTTAATGCAGTTTAACATTATTTTAACTTTTTTCCCTTCTCTTTTGCCACCAGATTAGCTTCCATGAATTGAAATTAACTTCTTTAGTGTGGACAAATTCATGTGGTGTGATTAGAAGATTCCTGGGAATTTTCTTTCTGACAACAAACAAGAGATTTCACGATTTTGAACTGTGATGGCTACAGAGAGGACACACCTCTTTTTTACAGCTTTTACCTGTGACTTTCACTATTGATTTGTACAACGTTAGGTGCATAGGGTTAACTCCCGGTTTGAATATTCGTCTTCAAGGGAAGCCTCTTTTCTTTTACCTCAACTTTCTTCTCTTGGAAATTTATATTATACTCTACGAAGCGGACCGCTTCTCATTTTTTTTTCCAGGAAATTGCAAGAATAATAGAACCTTAATATAATTACGCAAACGGGCTTTCTACAAGAACCCTTTTTTTGGCGAGCAAGCAGCTGGGTGATTTGTTAGATGGGTTGTCAGGAAGGAAAACGCCATGGAACAAGTTGATTATTTTATTTTTGACAAGAACATTAATTGAATTTTAATTCTACATAGTTTTTGACCTAATAACTAACCACATTTTTAACTGTGAGACCCATGCGATCAATTTGTTCTCATGGACTATTGAAATTGCAATTAAAGATTCAACAATTGTTATATCTACATTAACTGACGTACGAAACTGGATATGAATTCATCAGAATCAACAATCCATGTTTAGAATCAATTATTGACAGCTGGTTAACAGAGCTGTCCAAATGAGGAATTCAGTTTTTCATAGTTGATAGTTAAATAAGATCAGAAGAGAAGAATGTACAATATAAAACGGCAAGACAGACGATCAAACATCGTCTGCATCGCTTCCACTGATGTGGTGGTGTTCATTATTCACCCAATAATGGCTTCCATCAGGACCAGACACCTTAAACCTGCTCAACAATAAATCAATGCCACCTTAATTTAGATGATCATTTCAACCCAGAATTAGAACTTTCTCCTAATGTAGTTATCCACTGACCGCTCAAGCACAGATTTTCCTTCCTTGTACTTCTGACTCCTTTCATGTGCAGTCTCCTGAAAGAAACCATCCAATTAACTAATCGCAACAAGAAACATTCAGAAACACATTGAATTCTTTTCGAATCTTTGCCTTCTAATCTTACATATTTCCAACCCACAATTGATCCACACCCAACACAGAAAATGTCAGCAACGGTATGCAGCCCAGTAATCATCATTCTCTCTTCCTTCTCTCCCACAAATACATTCGCTCTGCCATACAGAGTAAGATGATTTAAATCTGAAAGGACCATAAGTGTGAATATATAATGTCTTCTGGCTCATTCTAGCATGAAACAATGTGTCTGAGGATGCTCTGAAGATCATCCATAATCAATCTATTTCACCATTCAGCAAACAAAAATAATAATTAAATATGATCACCGCAGGCAGCCCAGTATGACATTCATCTGTCTTGCTCTGTTCAGTAATACTCAGTCTACAACAGCATATCGAGGACAAAAAGTTTAATGCTTGAAGAGCAATTATGCTTCTCTTCTCACTTGGTGAACATAAATTTGAACGCACATTTTAGACTGATTTCTAAGATGCTTTACATTGCCCCCTTAAAAGGGCCTAGACTAAAGAATCCATCTCAGATTGTACTATTTTAGTTTGCCATAAACCTAGCACTCCACTCCCCTTTCCAACGGCCACAAGTAGAAGCCCATGCCATGACAAGGCAAATGCCAAGTGCATATCTACCAATAGATGTCCTGGCAGACTCAATGCCTGGTTCAGATGTTACTTTCAAACAGCATCATTCACAAAGAACAAATAATATATATATTGAGGCACTTGGTATGATGTGAGTGATCGGAACCTTGTGGCATTGACTTAAGGTTGTTGGTCCAACATAGAATTATCTCCAGATTTAATGAGTGTGTATTAAAAGGTGCCCGAAGCCCGGAAAATAAAGAAATACTTACACCTTATTGAAGAGATAAGCTTTCCCATGCCTGCAGTGAAAAGACTGAATAAAAGAGCAGAGGCAAAACATATAGTCAGAGCACTTGCATCCCATTAAAACCCCAAACAACATTTGCTGGACAGAATGAGAAAAGTAAAAGCACAATACAGCCCGATATGCTGAGCTATCATCAAGAAATATTTTACGCATATTACTGTCCAAGTCTCACTTTGACAATAACCAAAATATAGAAAACTGCTGTTTGCGATCTCACTTAAGGCTTATCTACTGTCATATAATAATCCTTGTGACAACTTATAGGCATGCAAATACACACATGCACATAAGCTACTTGATTGATCAAAGCATCTGAAAATCAGTCACTTTTCATGAACAAGGATGCCTTCCCAAGTTCTCATGCTACTTGAGAGCATCATTCATGATACTTATAGAATGTTCCTTCTGCAAATGGTTTGGGGTGTGATAAGCTTCACCATTTACTAAAAATGCCTTTAACATACATCATTTGCCATCCAAGGATGAAGTGGCGAAGCTCCACACTTGTTTGCCTGGTTGGTTCCTTTATACGAGTATGGTTTTGAACCAAGCAGAGCAAAACGAGAGCAGTGTTTAAACAAAATGGAATATATACATTTCAGTTTATATGCTGTCAAAATTTTGTCAATACCAAAGGGGATACAGCATCCAAGTAGCTCGACTTTAGTGAAGCTTGAATACTAAGAAGAGGCCAAAAAAGAATATCATTTTAAGCAAAAAAAAAAAAAAAAAAAAAAAAAAAAAAATCATCGTGAAGACCAACAAAATATAATCATCACAAAGTGCCAAACAATAAAGATGTTCATGCATCCCACCACATTAAGTAACAAATTCAATCACAAACCAAAAACAACTGTGAAACGCATTTTATTTTCCATAAATAGATCATACACAATTGAAATCCACTTAACATCCAGATATGGCATCAAGTGCAGGCTTCTAAATGGTGCAACGTGTGAAGCATTACCAAGCTTCCAAAACAACATATCTTCACAGCCTAACCAACCTAAGATCCTAACTAACATGTTACGGTGCTTATTTAACGGTTTTAACCATTAAATGATAAAAATTGCTCCACTTGCAGCATTCATCTATTCTTCGTTTATCAAGTCGAGGCGAAAGGATTTCACCAATTAAGCATCATCCAAATAAACTCGAAATGCACTATATATACACTTTAGTTTTTTTTTAATATTCTCCTAATGGAAAATGGGATATCATTACAATGACTAATCGAAAACCCCCTTATCCAATCCAATCCATTCTTCATATCTAACAAACGAAACCTCTTAAGATAATTTAAAATCATCATAACCTAAACACAGTCAACCGTCAAAAAGCACCCAAATTTTCACAAAAACAAAACAAATTCACAAAACCCAGATAAAAATACCACTAGATAATCACGAAACATAGAGAAATCAATCAATGAAAGGTCGAAAAAACAACCCTTGAAACAATATCGTCATAAAGAGCAAGATGGGTCCTGCAGTGCTTGCAGCTATAGATCTTCCCTTCGAGATCCACAACAAACAGCCTCCCCATCCTCGCAGGCAGATCCTTAAACAAAAATCTGTGGACTTGTAGTATCAACAGGGAGAAGAAATTCAAAATCCAGATTGACTGACGACCAAAAACAGAAGATTCCTTTTTTTTGTACAGGGGGAGAGAATGGAAACGGAATGGCTAATATTAATGTTTTGAATTTGTTTGATTGGATTGGCTACCTCTTAGTTTTTTGCTTCTAATAATGTTGGTGCTGGTGCTGTTGCTGCATGCTTTACAAGAAACGTAGACCGAGAGGAAAAGAGAAGTAAAGCTATCTACACTTCCACCATTATATCACCTTTTTCTGCTAAAGGGTAACCTGACAAAACGTGTATCTACGGTTTTTATCCTTTTCTGCTTTCCTTTTCCCTGGACAACTAGGAGGCGTTTCGCATTTCGGCGAAAACTCAGTTGGCACATAGCATGAGTTTTTTTCAAAAGAAAAAAATTAATTTTTTAAATATTTTTAAATTGTTCTCATGAGTTAAAATTAAAAATAATTTTTAAAAATAAAAAATATTATTTCAATAATTTTTAATGTAAAATTATATAAATAGACTCTACTACTTAAGGATTTTTTTTTTCATGTTTTCTATTTCTAAATTTTTAATGTAAAATTATTCTTTTAAAAATCATCACTATAAGATTTTTTTTTTCATGTTTTCTATTTCTAATATTTAGTACCAATTAGATTTCAACATATGGTAAGTTCCATGTTATAAATTGGGTGAGTCACAAATCAAGTAAGTTGATCAAAGATAATAATTTTTTTTTAAATTACAATTTTAATTTTATTTAGGTTGTAAGTTAACCAAGCAGGTTGATTAAATCAAGATTTTTTTTAATATTCAACTAGGATCAAACACAATCAATGGATCAAACATAATCAATGATTTTTGAGTATATTTATTGATTTAAGCCAAATTTAATAACCTTGTTTAATTCCATACCGGTTGGGTTATTGTTAAACGGGAGTGTATGGCTAGTGATGGTTGGGGAAATTTGTGTTGGGTTGAAATATATTTGTTTAAATGTTGAATGGCTGAGCTAAAATTAATTCATTTTCCGTAGTGTTTAAAAAGTTTTCAAAGTGCAAGTCTTGATCGAAAATTCTTTTTGAAAAAGATTCAGAAATTGGAACTACGGGGGGGTCCAATCATTTAAATGCATGAATTTTTCAAGGGTGATTTGAGAGGAAACGTATTCAGTGAAATCAGTATTCATTTAAAAATCCAATAGTTCCATTATAAATAGGATTGGTTCAATGCAGTATTCATTTAAAAATCCAATAATTTTAGTTCCATTATAAATAGGATTGGTTCAATGTCATCTAATGCTAAGAATGCCTTGAATAATATATATATATTTTTAAAAATGCATAGATTGTATGTGATCGTTTTATCATAATATTTGAAAGAAAAATAATCTAATCTTGATAAACAATTAATTAATCTAAACAAATACTTATGAGATGGTTAAGCTGGTCAAGGTCAATTTAGCCTTGAATTTCCAATCATGTGGACGTGTGCTCATTCAAAAAACCGAAAAAAACGATCGCTTAAAAAACGCAAACACTATGTTGACGAGGTAAATACCCCAGCCAACTTCATGGCAACCAAGTGAGCTCTGACATGGCATGCATACCATGTTATTAAGATTATCTGTTAGACTCGAACTGATGGATAATGTTATTTGATATCGCTGTCAGCGCTAAATAATCGCATATTGTTTATGATAAATAACACAAACTTTTTCTTTCAACCAAAACTTACTCCATGGTTGTCTACTTTTGCTACGGGTGGAAGGACAACGCTATTTTTAGCGGCCATTTGGTGGCTGTGGCGCCAGCGCAACATGGTGGTGTATGCTGAACATTATGCAGGGGATGACGGGCTTTTACGGAAAATTTATAAGATGGAGGATGATTGCGTTAATTTCTTGGCTTGCAGTGACGGCACTTCAAAAGCTCAAAGATTGGTGACCCGGAAAAAACCAGATGATGGGTTTGTTAAGTTGGATGTAGATGGCAGCTTGCTTGGAAATCCAGGGAGGTTGGGATTTGGTGGTCTCCTTACGAACGAGAGATCTCGAATGATTGATGCAAACGGACTTCCGTGCCAGACTCGACATTTGAAATAATCCATCAACTAAAACAAGTCGTCGGCGAGGCCTATTGATTTGCTGTGGTCTGCAGCAGCTGCGAAACGATGATCGGTGATTACCAAGAACTATCCATTACCAGGAGAAAGCCAACTTAAGCTTTTCATTTGCGTAAAAATGTAACATGAATATAAAAACTAATTAATGCAATATGTTTAAGTAACGAGACATTAATTAAATGTATATATATCCAAATATATAGGTTTCGAAGAAAGGAAAGAACGTGTCATCAATAATTAGACCGCGGCATTTTTCTCCCTTGAAGTTTTATAGAATTACAGAGATCATTTGAAGTTGAAGGTAGCCACGAAGCTAATGGGACCTTTTCCTGTAAAAGCAGCTTGAATACCAAATATAAGGAAGGCCACCATAGCTAGCCTAGCATGCTTAATCTCTGCCAGTTGAAGGTTCTCTATCTTTTCAGGATCAGATGCTAAGCCAAGAGGATCAAAGTAGCCACCAGGATATAGCCTTTTCTCTGGGTCAAGTTCTGCATTTCTTTGGAACTCAATGTACCCAATGACTATCACCTCAATCCATATCAACGTGGTCAAGGAGAAAGGAAGTGGCTGGCCAAGGTATGATGACCCCTCAATCAGCTCCACCTGGAAAATTAAATCACCGAAAGAAAAAAAAGTCATCAATTTAATTAATTAAATCCATGAATTTATCTCGTCGGTTTTGTTGTTATCGTTATTAACACTGTCATGCATCTTTGCTTGGATAGCTAGAAGACACGAGTAAGAAAATTGTTTGTTTTGTTGATGTCCACGTCGTATTTCTCGAGTGGTTGTCGGGACCTCTCACAATACTTCGAAGAGAGCACGAACCATGCTATTTAATAATATTAGTGTAAATTGAGCTACAACTTAATAGTGGATTATGCTATTTTTTTTTGGGATTTGTACGGTTTTTATACTCCACATTAATTTATTTGAGAATAATTACAGTTATTTTTTAAAATATTTTTATTTAAAATATATTAAAATAATATTTTTTTATTTTTTAAAAATTATTTTTGATATTCACATATCAAAATAACATAAAAATACTAAAAAAATATTAATTTAAAATTATAAATATATATAATACAAAACCACTCAGTGCCACTATTCAGCCATACTTCTCTCCCATTACCCCATTTCCATTCTTAATTACTTCATTTCCAGCATCCTGTTCATTAAAAATGAAAATCATATACATTCAAGGTTCTGCCGGCTAAATTACTGTACTGGTGGCCAAAATCAACCGTAGAAAAAGAAGAAAAAAGATCAGTCCATGTTTCATCAAAATTAACATTTATCACTGCATATTCCAATTTTTTAGAGTTCTTAAAAATCAATTTCTTTCATTTTTTATTTCGCTAGAAAGAAGGAATCTAAATGATTTTATTAGTTAAAATGTACTAACACTTATGAAAGTTTAAACTTAGAATGCTGAGCGCTAAGGGCGTATAAATTTCATCGAGTACCGGCATGTACGTACCTTTCCTGCATCTTGCCATGCAACACCGGTGAGAGCCTCCACAGCAATGGCACCAAGAGTACCCAACATTGCCCACCTTCCATGAATAAGTTCGCATTCTCTAAACCTCTGCAGCCCAAAAACCTCGGAGTATGGCTGGAAGGGTGTTGGTTTCACCTCCGTGGCATCTACCCGGACTCCAATAACATCACCGGCCAAATTCTTTGCCAAGTTCTGGTCCAACGAATCCAAATCAAATTGCAAGTACTCTGCGGGCTTACCCAGAGCGAATGGGTCAAAACCGCGGTCTCCAACCATGGTTCCATCAAGCCATTCAGGTGGGGTTGCACCAGGGAACCATACAAGCCGCTCTTCAAATTGTTTTGGGGAGGATTTCTTTGGTGGTGGAGGAGGAGGCGATTTCTTGGTCCCAAACCCAAATAGGGCTTGAATTTTTCCTGGATTTTGTTTTGTGTATTGAGTTCGGGTCCCCAAAAAATAGGACGTGGCAACAGCAGTCGTTGCAGCCATGTTTGGGTCTCAGGAAACTGGCGTGTGAAATAGAAGTTGTCCTAAATTTATAATGGATTATTTGTTTAATTTCAGTTGAAACTGCGCGAGGAAGTTTTTTTATTTTCTTTGCCAATGGACGTATGTGAACCAGAATTGCCTGGGCCTTATCCTTACTTATCCTCTAGTGAGTGATGTTGGATGGTTGATCGTTGATGGCTTCGACACCTTCCTTTGTAGGATATTGGAACCTGGACGTGCGTACCTAACATTTTTAAAGCCAGTGGGGTTAGCTACAAAAGAAATTAGAGTGGCTCGCTTCCACAATGAACAATTTTATGAAGTGACTTATGAAGCATATATCCTTCATTTTACATATATATACCAATAATTTGATCTTAAATTAAAACCATTAAATACCCAAAAAAGAAAAAAAAAGTCAAACCGAAGGTATAAAAAGAAAAAATTCACATAAAAAGTAAAGATAATATACAAAATTAAATGTTATAAAGAGCATTCAGTTGAGTTTTGGATTCTTTTTAAGAAAAATAGATAGATATTTATAGTTATTATTAATTTTATAATTTTAGTTAAACCGATTTGAATGCTATGTATCCATGTTTTATAAAAGTTACTATTAGTGCTGCCCGGCATTATATTCTATAAAATTACAAACAGTATATAAATTATTGATCTCGATACATAGCAATATTTTCAAAAACAAAATTTAATTTGTATATGTCTTTACTGTTGGGAATTTCGACCGATGATATACTGATATTTGCTCATAGGAGGAGAAGTACACTGAGACACGGTATTTTACGTGGTTCGGCAAACAATCTACATCCACGGGAGA